TGAAGGATCAGGTAATTTGTTCTTTTCAAACTGACCGATCAGCTTTCGAGTTGTCTTTTTGTTTATACGATGACAAAAGGTTTGTTACCTATACGACTATATTATTTCGTTGTAAACATACGACGATGATACCAATATATGAGGAATTTGCTTTACGGGTATTCTTACAATGCTTGTTTCAAAATAGAGATGAGCTGTTTAACAGACAAATTATGTTGCAAAACTGATCAAGGTATAAGTAAAAGTAAATCGGACTGAAGCAAATTTTATCAATTTAACCAATGTACAACACAGTTACTGATCTAAATCACCAAGCTTAGCAATCAAGAATGTTTGTTTTATGGCTATAAATGTTGAATGTAACAATTCAAGAACATACCCTGATGATGTACCTGACTAGATGATACAGATGTGATATCTTAGGAATAAAATCTAGACAGCGTAACATGGCTGAACAAAAGAATGCACATTTTGCTTTAATATCCTTGAAAAACGATCCAAAGCACTATTATTTAAACATTCATTACTTTTTCTTCCTTGGTTGCAATGTAACGACCGGGTCATCACGAATTCTTTCGAGTTCTTCTTCTCTGAGTAGGGGAATTTCTGCGCACAGTAAATGTTCTATGTCCACATTTTTTTTGATGCTTTCACTCGCAGTAACAGGAGTAGAATAATCTTCTTTTCTTATCCTTGAGAGAAAGTCATAAATTTCATTTTCAATCGTGTAAAATGCTCCAAAGTATGTTGATAACTCCAAAATTCTCTTTCTGTTGGGAACAAAGTAATTTACCATATTCTGTGCTGTTAAGCAGGCATTTCTCACTGTAATAATAATGCCGCCTTTTACAAAATCCCTTCGTTGCAATAAAATTAATAGAAAATCATCAATATTTACCTTTTCTGTTTTAGATTTCGGATCGTCATCAAAAAAATGAAATTGATCGATGCTATTGAATAAAACAGGAGTTTTATAATAATTTGAATGAACCATAACGTTTGGATATATCATGTGAAAGACGTTTTGCCAATATTTCAGCAGTTTCTTTGGTGTCAATATTTTTTTGGTTGGGCTGCTTTTCAGGAACACCAATTCGGACTTCGGGTGACTGAACGTCTCCAGATACTCTGGATTAGAAAGGCTGACCACGAACACTATGAATGCTTGTACATAGAATGTCTGAAGATGCCTTGGCTCGAACAAGCCTGTCGTATCTAATGATTCAATAAATAGCCCACTTTTGCTGTCGTGCTCGATTACAAGAGAAGCAATAGGAACTATTAGAGTGTCACTATCATTGTTTACTTTTTGCAGTAACATGAATAGCTCTTTATTATTTGTGGATTTAACGTTAATTACGGATATATTGAGCCAGGGATTCATAAGGATAAAATATTTTTTATTTGACTAAAATACGAACGGTTTTATACCAAATGTTTCATATAGAACGTTGAAAAGCGAATATTTTCGTGAACTGACGATTGTAATTGAGAATTGTTGCACCAAGTTATAATCTCTCTGCATAGTGCTAAGCCGAGTTCGTGGATTTGAACATTATAGTAATGCCTCGTAGACACGATATCAAGTAAATAATTATCAATTCGTAGGTGCTTGTATTTGAGTTCTTATTGTCCACCGAATTTTCTTGTTCTGTTCTTAGCACTCGGTTTATTATACCTTACCAGCTATACTTTCTTGTTACGAGGTTTTTTTCAACAATAATAAATTTGCTAAACCGAATTAAATCCTACACAAACAACTAAACATGTACAGTTTGCCATTCAAATGTTAACATTAAATATACCAGGTCAGTGACATTGTTGTTACAGCCTAAAATCATTCGAAAATAATTCTTTTTGGCACAAAAATTATTAATTTGTGGTCATCTCACTGTCTTTTTTTAGGTTTATTCTAGTAACACATTAAAGTTTGCCAATCCTATAAATTATGAGCATGCAAAATCATGCTTGTTATTCCATACTCTGTATCAGAAGCAAACCCATGTGTTTTCATCCAGCGTATGATCCTCTCTTTGGGTTTAACTGCCTTGTAACTGCCGTAAAGAAAAACAATGGACAACACGGCAGAAAGTAAAACCAGTATAGCAATCAAGTTAAGAAGTGTAAATGCCAATTCGTTATTGTTTACTCCTTCAATTGGTGTGATGTCAGGTTCGTGGTAATCTTCTTGGTTGATAATTTGCTGAGATGAGCCTGAATCAGTTGATAAATTATTAAGGATCATTCTGTGATTTTTATTCAAGACAGATGTTAAGAACAATAAAATTGACACTTACCCACTCATTCTGCAGCTATTGAAGAACATTGCACTCGATATCGTTTCTTTTATATGTAGGATATGCGATATTTGCTAACTATGAGTTGACATGTAAATGAGCTCGCAGTAAAAAATTACTAAACACGAGCAATGCACAGAACTGCTGCTCCTTGGTTATTTCAATGTTTTTGAGATATTATAGAGAAAATGGCAACGCAAAGCGAGCATAGTTATGGCATGATAAATATAATTTCTAAATAACCGTGTTACAGTTATAAAATTGGAGATCAAAATATTTAACCATATCAAGCGATAGATTCAGTGATGGTATGTTTTCAAAGACAAGTTTTAAAAGTCTAACAACTCCAAAAATGTTTGTCTGCCAATAAATTCGGTGTATCAACATTTAGTTATTTTACCTACATTAAGTACAACGAGCGGATGGAATGATAGGCCTAAGCTTGGTACATAGATGCGAATGCAGATCAAATCACATTTTTAAATCATGCTTGCTGTTCCACATCGCTCAAAACAATTTGTATTAATTTGGCGCACCCATCGGAAAATGTTGCCGTTTACTTTCAGTCTTTTAAAATGTAACAGCTGCGATTTCACGCAAAAACTGCGCCTGATGCCCACTAAAGTACACAAAATAACACCTACGAGCGAATTCCATAGGGAGGTGGATGAAGAGACTTTAGAGAGCCTGAAAAAGTCTTTCGAAAACATGGAGGATGTCTACAAGCTTGAGGATGATACCAGGTTGTTTCTCTTTGGCAACGTGGTAGACGAGGGAAAAATTGTTTGTGACAGTTGTAGCGTCTACTTTTCTATCGAAGATGGCATCGTTGATTTTATCAATCCTGTTAAAATAGAGAAGAATGACGTAGAGGCAGAATGACCGTGATGTGCACATCCAGTGGAAATAAATTATTACTATCAACAGAATAAGTCTTAATCGCTTCTTAGACAAATTTGCAATGAATTGCATATGCATTTAAAAAAGCTTGTAACGATGCTTAAAGCGCTATATGTCGCTTGTAAGTGTATTTTTAGTGGCAGTTGCATCTTTTGGATTTGATCAGCGTGTACGTCCACATCTACGGCAATTTTAATTTTTCAAAATTTTTTACCCCGATATAACAGATGGTACGAAGAGGAAAGCAACCATTAGACACAGGAAGGAACCGCATACGCCTTACACGTGGTATCCAAGTAGGTACCGTGCTATTATGCGCAGATAATTCTGGCGCAAAGATGTTGAAGGTAATCGGTGTGAAGGGAGTCAGAGGAAGGCTGAATAGGCTGCCGGCTGCCACCCTAGGTGATGTGCTTGTTTGTTCGGTGGTGAAAGGCAAACCAGACCTGAGAAAAAAGATCGTGCTTGCTGTGCCCATAAGACAGAAACAGATTATCAGGAGGCCTGATGCGGTACACATGTACTTTGAGGATAATGCTGCCGTGCTGATTACGAATAAGTGTGAGTTGAGGGGAACGCAGATCAATGGGCCGGTGGCGAGAGAGGCATGTGAGCTATGGCCCAAGATATCATCGCAGGCATCTTCAAGTTTCTAAATGAATAAACGATTTTTAAGGACTATGTTTAGCGTCAGATCATATAAAATGTGTGTAATTTCTTTGGGTGTCTATGCCTGGAAGTATCTACCGAGTACATTCGATATTAGAATTGTTACCGTAGAGAAGGTTGTTTTCGATTCCATTTGATGAATACGATTACCAATCCATGTGTTCTACCTTTCTGTAATTCAGTATGTGAGTTTCCCGTTCCGGTGGCTTGCTCCATCATGTATTCAGGAAAAAATTCTGCATGCATTGATGATCCGCCCCAGCTGTATCGTTTCTTTTCATATAACCAAATAAAACTCGCTATCATGTTTAGTAATGCTTCTTCCTTCTCCGAAGTAATTCATCGTATTTATCTGCAGTTACACGATTTGTAAAAAATTTTTGCCAAATATTCTAAACTAGCACCTTTCCAAATTCATATTTTTATATGCAGAATTGTTGATATTTATTTCGAGTTTTGTATCGTATGAAACGCAAGTTAATGTTTGCTATGTGCACCAAGAATTGATTGCCATGCCTTTAAAAATGCAGACACAAAAAAATACCATGCGTTACAGCTGAGCAATCAACTCATGTTTAACCATTAATTTAACATTTGATTTGATGCTAACCATCTGATTATTCAATTTTTCAAGACGCTTTCTGGTGTCCTCGTGAACATTTGATAGTTTCAATGTGATATACGCGCTTTATCTCCGCTCATCTGTTTTTTACGTTTCCTTTTTCTTCACAGAGCAACTTGCTAATGAGCAAGCTTATAGGTGTATGATTGGATCACATTTTGCTGTGGTGCTTTTTATACAAAGGGAACAGCGGAAGAGCTCTTTTCTACGGAATGTTAAACACTCAGAGATGCTACGCCTGAGGGTCTGCCTAGGTATGCACTTAGCCACGCTTGTTTGCCGCCGTTTCACACGCTAACGGTAGTTTTCATATGCTTTATCGAACTCGCACCGCACTTTTCATATTCAACTCCTCAGCATGGCCACGTTTCCTCGGACTGCGTGTTTCAGCGTTGTAATACGGTGTTCAGTATCATGTACCAGGGTCACACGTGGTTGAGAGTCCATAATTACCAAATTTCATTTTACTTTGAAGCCGATGAGATGGTTACTTCAACAATTATTTGTAAACGGATCGTCATTTTTTACATGTGCAAATTTCACAGGCACAATGAGCCAACATCACCATAATTCCTTTATACTCGATGGAGAGGTCACAAAGTTTTTACACCTGATAATGAGAAATGCTCAATCAGAAAATATTACCTTTAATCACAAGTTCAAGGGTCTAATCTACGAGTATGGATGGTGTTCATGCCAACGAACCATTCATAAATATGAGTGTTTCATTTGGCGATCAAAGCGAGTGGTATTTAAGACTGGTACGTTTCTGCGTAAGGAACGTTTCACGAACGTGTGAGTAAGCACAGTGTCAAAATATATTTCTGTTTGCCAAATCCCACGTAATACTAATCGTATTATTTTTGGTTGCAGGGCAGAGTATGTGTTTACCACTGTGCGTGGTTAGAATTGTTCATTTTCCAAAACAGTCGTTATGCCGTGTTCCCAAATATTTCAACCTGCAATTGTTCAAACCAGAACTGCCACTAAAACAAATAATTTGTGCTACGGTAACCATCCTATCAACAGTAATTAAAAACTGCTCTCATATGCCAATGAACGTGTTTAAAAGGATCATCTGCGGTAATTGATCATTGTTTTGATAATTAAACCGTATTTCGCGCCTATAAAATATGCTATGATGTAAGATTACGTATAGTAGAATATTTAATGCTTACCACCTGCAGCATGGCATTAAAAGTATTTCCTGTGATGACCGCACCATCGTTACACTGCACTCAATGACAAATGCAACGATCAGCTCATCAATCGATTGCCATCTTTTTACTGTTATTATAACCAAGGTATCAAATCAAGACGTAGTATTTAACGATTCCCTTGCAATTAAAATCGCATTGATCACCTCTCCTCATATAATTCAGGGAAATCTTCCTTTATTTTTCAAGTGATGATGATTTGATCCTATTTATCACATTTTCTAAACAATTTGACACGTTTTTGCGGATGCTCTCATTTTAGTTCTCGATTCATCTGTTGCCTAACATACCTGCATTTCAAATACCATCAAACGATACTTTGTCTTCGTGCCACGGGAATTAACGCGGCATTTAATTTTATTGTCCTAACATGCCGCAGTGTGGGGTTGAACGACAGCACCGTTTGACCATGGTGGTCCTTTCCAGCAATCCAAAATTTATTCAGAAAAAAATTTTACCCTAACAAAATTCGATGGCAAGTACTTCACTCGTAGAAAGGGCAAAATCGCGTGTGCACAAGCAGCTCGTTACGTCCTTGGACGTACCCTACACCGGAAACTCAGATATTCTGTATTCCGCTTCTAGAGATAAGAAAGTATACCAGTGGAAACTGAATACAAGTGATATGGAGCGCATTGGAACGCTCATCAAGGGGTATGCGGGGCATAATCACTTTATTACGGACGTTAAGGCGAACAGAACGAACGAAATGATTATCACGGCATCGTACGACCACACAGCCCGTATTTATGACGTCAATACACAGAAGTACACCATTTTGAAGGGGCACAAGAAGGACTTGACCGGTGTTACCATAAACACCGAGGATAACAAGATCATTACCGGGTCTTGTGATGGATCCATAGCCCTGTGGAACACAGAAGGTGTTCTTTCGAAGGTTCTTACGCCAGAAAATCCGTCATCAATTCCTATTTGGGTCAACTGCGTTTCGTTCGTGCCGAACAGCAATCTGTGTGTGACGGGCTCGTCAGATGGTAAGTTGCGGATTTGGGACATTAACAGTGGAAAGATAATCAGAACATTTGTAAATGGTAATGATTTGGAGTATTACGCTGCGAATGAGGTGCCAGTGCCTGAGGCTAACATGATAACTGCGCTTTCTGTCTCGGCCGATGGTTCTTTCTGTGCTTATGGTGGTCGTGACTGCGTGGTGTACATCATAAATTTGAGCGATGCCGCGTGTTTGCTGCATTTTGAGACTGAGTCGCCGATTACATCCCTTGCCTTTGCAATAACTGAGCCTATAATAGCTGTGGGTACGCGCAACAGCATAATTTGCTGGGACGTGATAGGAAACGAGAGATCGGCCGTGGTTGAGAACGAGAGCAAAACTGTTTACTGCACGGCGCTGACATGGTCTAAGACACGACTTGTTACCGGCTACAATGACGGTGCTATCGTTGTCTATGATTTTGTTAGGAACGTATCGGATAATTAAAACTCTTCGCTGGTTATTTTATCGCAGTTCATGTGTTAATTAGCTGTTCCTATCCGTTTGGCCGTCACAGACAGCTGTTTGTTCAATTTTTCCTCATTGAATGAGTGCTGATCGGTCGAGCGCTTTTTGAACAACGGTTTCCTGAGTTTAGCAAGCATTTAATTTGTGGTATGCTCGATGTGCCTTTTATTCATTGTTGAACGAAAGTCCTCATATTCAGGTGATGTTGAGTGTGAGGTGGTAAATAAGTACATTTTTAGAGACATAAATGAGGTATACCGGTGTGGTGCCATTCTCAACGGAGTGGTGGTGAAATAAAAAATGGGCGTTCAAACAAAAATTGGAGGTGATCTTAAATAAGGACGGAACCGAAGATGCATGAACAGCTGCTGCATCACTCTCAGCCGTGGTGTGCGACCCTTGCTGGGGATGTGCATTCGGTCGAATGGCGAGTTCCACATCTACGAATACTACGATTCGTGGTTGTTCACGATGACAACGCGCGTACTTACATGCTATAGCGTGGACAGAGTTTACATCGCTGAGGAGCAGGAAGCGCTCTACAAGGCCATCAAAGAATATAACGTGGTAAAAATTGCAAGGAAGTACTTTGAGATGGACTGTTGCAGCAATTTATACGGCATGCTGGCGCACAAGATTTTGTGTAATTACTCTCCTGAACGGAATAATGCATTGGACTGGTCGGATAAAGACATGAAACAGCGTAACACTGGTGCTAAAGTCGTTTTTAAGGTGCCGGACGGTCGCATGTTAATCCACAAGAACACTGTGGAGGAGTTGAATCTGCTGAGTGATGTTGTATGTGCAGTAAGAAACACAAAAACTAAAATGGGTGAAAGACTACTCAGGGAGGAACTGTGCCAACCCTACACCGATAAAAACGTGATTCATAACAGGCATGAGAAGGTAAAACTGTTGAAAAATGATATGAAGTTGAGAAAAGCGATAGAAGCTGTGCTTAAGCGGATGCCTGACATGAATCAGCTGATTTATGATGTTCTGTTCGAGCAGAGAGTAACAAAAAATGTTGGGCGTGTAGTTGAACTGTTGGATGTGATTGAAGAGCTGAAATGTATTTTGGGCGTTGAGAAAAGGAGCATGGACGAATGCACAGCCATCACCTGTGAGGCGAAAAATGACATGAGCGCTTCGTGTACAAAGAATTGCGATGAATGCATCGATGGTGAAAAGAACGGTACAGAGCATTCTGGCGATGATGTATCGGTTTTAGGTGCGAAAGCGGACAATATGAAAGAGGAAGATGAGCTGCAGGACAGAAATGCGAAGAACTGCACATGTGTGAGCAGTCAAAAGATTAAAAAAAGGTATGAAATAGTATTAGCACACGAAATATCGTGTTTGGAGCAGTTCAACGTTGAGCTGCCAGCGATGGAACGCTTGGTTGCCAAGGACGGTATCAAAGACAGCATTACAATCGTAAAAGAGAATGTGAACGTGATATTGGACATTAAACGCAAAGTACACCACGAAAACATGGAGGACATTCTTTCTATGGCAGAGGAGATAGAGAGGGAGGCTGATACGTCTGTTAGGATACATTATGATAGTACCAAGGGATACGTGCTTAGAACTGAGTTTATAGGAGAGAATGGAGACGTAAAAATAATCAGCAAAAACAGCAAGTTCATAACTTTTAGCACAACCGATGTGGAGAAAATAAACATGAGAATGCGCAAGGTACGGGTGGAAATAGAGAACATAAGTGAGCATGTTTTAATGGAAGTGATCAGGGAAGTGCAAGCAAACATAGGATCGTTCCAAAGGATGAGTGACGTAATAGCTGAGCTTGATCTGATCGTATCGTTCGTTAACTTTAGCAAACTCCGAAACTGCTGTTTCCCTAAATTTACGGACAGGTTTGTGGTGTCTAATACCTACAATTTGGTAATCCAAGACGTAAAACAAGCGGTAACAATATTTTCGTGCAATTCGCTCAACAAAAATATCGTAACAGGCCCCAACATGGGCGGAAAGACTACATATCTCAAGACTATAGCCGTAGTAAGCATTTTAGCGCAAATAGGCTCTCCAATCAATGCCGATTCGGCAGAGATAAAAATTCACGATGAAATGTTCACAAAACTGGCACAGCATGACAACTTTGAGAAAGAATGGCAGTTGGCAGCAAATATTCTGGAGAAATCCACCGACCGCTCCCTCATTCTGCTTGATGAAATGGGAAGAAGCACAGATTATAATTCTGGGTTGTCCTTCTCGGTTGCATTCATCCTTGCACTGCACAAAGGCACTTTGTTCTTCTCCACTCACTTTCTTGACATGGTGAAGTATCTCAAACACATTAGAAATGTTAATTTTGTGGGAGTGAATGATTTTAAAGCGAAGAGCGGAGTATGTGGCTACTTCAAGGGTATAGAATTGGCCAAGAAGTACTTCCCTAAAAAAGTTACTGAACATGCAGAGAAAGTGTGCAAGAAATGGAAGATCACGAAGTGCGATAAGATTAAATTGCAGGTCGCCCTAAAAATCGCGGAGGGCGGGTGTGATGAGAGTTGTATTAATAGACAAGAGAACTCATAGTCACATTTCACCTGGGGTGACCCACATGCTAGATAAATTGCTCGTAGCGTACACGAGATAATGAAATACTTTTATTTACTATGCAGTTGAAACCGGAATACCAACCAAACTGCCATCGGTTACCCCTTTATTATCGTTTTCCTTGCTCATGATAACATCCCTGCATATAGGGCAAACTTGCTGTTGCTCAACCCATCTCTTAAGACACTCCAAGTGAAAGGAGTGCTTGCACTTTATAATGCGTCCTTTCTCATCCTCCATATCCTCCGTGCAAATTGCACAGGTACCTGTGCTCATCTTCGGGCACGTTTCCAAGTATTTGCTGATCTTAAGGAACGCTCTGAAGTTGTTAATTTTCTTGAAGAGCGTCTTAAAGGTTGAAAAACATTCCCTGAACACGTTAAAGGGTATTCTATAGTGCATGGTGGTGAAACAGAAGAAGGAAATATGTGCAACCAGCTTGAGCGAGACAAACGTTATATCAACCCAGAACAACTTGATAGAATCTTCGAGGAACATAGACACCAAGGACTTGACACATGCAAGGGTCACAATACCGTATTCAAAGGTAAATAAAATCTGAACGTTGGGTTCCTCAAAACTGCTCTTCAGGGAGAGGATAAAAGATGTAAGCGACTGCACAATGATGAGGACACCAAAAGAAACGATCATCCTGTCATTCTGATGGGTTACACGTTCACTGAACACCCATGCAAGGCACTTCAACGTCAGAAGGTAGCAGAATAATATCAAATTTTTTATGGATATATCCTCAGAAAAAATCGATATTATGAGCAGAGTATCGGTCAGGAACATGAAGCAGTTGTCGTTGATTGTACTTTGCTCCTCAGAGCGAATGCCATCCAGGAACAAGCTCACCAGCAGTTTACCGCTGATGAAGAGAAGAAGTATCAGGAAGGCAGCGTGGAACAGATGCAGCCCGTTATTGTTCGTTGTTCTGATGAAAACCGAGTAGACGGACTCCTCCACCATGTACTCTCTGTACGAGAAAATGAGCAACGATATGAAGTGGATAGCGGTGTACAGGAATAAGTACTTCATTTCAGGAAGGGTCTTTCAAAAAAATAATAAATTATTTTGTATGAACAATCTGGGCAGATGAAGATGGAGCCGATCCACAAATACGTGTTGTGATTAATCGAACGAGCTCATTTGTTATGCGTAGCACTTGCTTAGTGTTCTTGGTTGGGCCGGATGTACGGTGCCAGCCATATCGATAAACCGTACATGAATGTGTAAGCAGGCGCTTATCGGTTGAAAGAACATTTGCTGTGTAAAAAATGATCAAACAATAATGAAATGTACTTTTTGGTGGTTGTGCCCGATTTATACATATTGATAAATGCAGCGGTTAATCCATGTGTAAGCGATCAACTAGTATAAGTACATGTTAAAACAAAATAAAAAATGTGCCAGAACGTAGCTCTATGTTCATCTTTCTACACTCATATTTACTTGCTCTTCATATTTTTGGTAGTTATATTTCAACATTGTTATGTTTATAATAATACAATTTATTTGTTGTGGTACATTCGTAAAGATGGAAAAATTTTATACCGATTAGATTATGAAGCTGAAATCCTTTGTTTAAACCCGTAATACTTTGACCAACTATTCTATCGTAATTACGTGCTAAAGTATGTTTCATAATGCTGAACTATTTACTGTGATCTACTCCACCAAAAATAGCTTTAGCTCGCATCTACCACATTGTTGCTGTACCGATTACGGCCCATATTCGCAAACAAACACCCAGCACTTTCTGATAAATTGTATTCTACGTTACAATTTTCATATCGTGAAATGACACCGCTTAAACCTGAAGTGGACACAGACTGACCCATCAAAAAGATGGAACATTGTAAAATTGACCGGAATGTTGTTCAAATACATAGCAAATGATTTGTTCTAATAGTTTTTCACAAAATAATTGACATTACACCTGATTGATAGCATTCTGTTGAACACCTCTTCCTTATAATCAAGTTTCATCCATTTAATGTAAACATCTCATCCAATCATTGTAGAATGATGTTACAGCAACACCAAATATATTATTGACACTTCC